GACGATGGAGAATGGCACAAAATTGACGTATTCTGGGACACAGAGGTACGAATTTCACTCACAAACGAGTTTGGGTGCACTTTGCTAAGCGTACATGTTTTTATTTTWATTTTAATATTTATATAATATTATATACTATCGATTGGATGATGACCYTTCAACGGATCTTTCGTTTTTCAGAATATACGTTTAGTGGTGGACAACTGCCGTTCAGCAGACATCACTGAACTGGAAGACGGTTCACATCCGGAGTTTGACGATGCCTCGTGCCAGGCCCAGGGCACAATACCACCGTTCAACGAATACCTAAACATCAATTCACCACTGCAAATCGGCGGGCGGTACGTACAAGACTTCGACCCCACCCACTATCACTGGCAATCMGCTCCGTAYGGCAAAGGGTTCGATGGCTGCATCAAAAACGTCTATCACAACAGCAAGGTAACGGCATGTTGGTTGACGATGCCGATGGCAATAACTAAATTATTGCAATCGGTTTCCATTTTACGTATAATATTGTTTGTCTGACACCAAGTTTATGCGCAAATGCGTTAACAATATAAAAAGCAATTATTATGCGATGCTTTAAATTATTGCTTTTTTTTTTATTTTACATGAGTATAATATTACTCAAATCTGTGAAATCCTTCGCAAGTAGGTATTAAATCTTATTAATGATGAATCTTAGCTCATTAAAAAAAAATATATCAGCCACAGTAATGAACATAAACTATTATTAATTTTACTAACTCCTGTCGTTTAATGATGTGTTACAGCTCTATGATCTGGCTAACCCGGGACTCACCAGAAACAGCGTCGCTGGATGTCCACAAACCGAAGACTTATGCATGCAGTTGGTTGGCCACAGGTGTTCGGAACATGGATCGTGTGTAGGTAGTATGGTGGAACCTCGRTGCGAGTGCAACCCCGGCTGGTCGGGCGCTGATTGCCTCACGCCCACAATACCGACCACGTTCCGGCCTCAGAGTTACGTGAAGTACGCCCTATCGTTTGACGCCGATAAATTCATGACCAAAATCCAGTTGCGATTCAGGACACGCGAAGAGCACGGCGAGTTGTTCAGAGTCAGTGACCAGCACAACCGCGAATACGCTATTCTTGAGGTGCGATATCATTACTATTATTATTGTTATTATATTATCTATGGTACTATAAATATATTTACGTGCTCCACATACAAGCAACCGTCARAAAGAATACATTTACAATCGCTGTCTGTCATACGTATAAATTGAACTCAATATTTATTGAAATATTCAAAATATTTCTTAGCTTTAGAAGTTCTAGTAATTCACGTCTGATATGGCCTTATCCAAATTCCAAGAGATTAATATACTCAGCGTCCCCCACTTTCAAGAGATCTTCTGATTTACGTTTTAAAATGTCGTAATTCACATTTTTCTAAATTAAATATGAATGTTTCTTATTGTCTAGATTTTATACCTGATTGACATTATAATTTTCTCAAACCAAAGTTCATTTCCTGGCTTTCAAGTAGGTATACATAGGCTTAAAATTTTAATGTAAAATTCAATTTGTAAATTCGGTAAAATATTWAAAAAATATGACATGAATATTATTGACATGTGAAAATTATTTTTGAAATGATAATTGCAATCTTGCTTTGAATTCATTTTTTTCATAACATTATATCCTGTTGGCAGATTAAAGACAGTAAACTACATTTCCGGTACAACTTRAACAGCTTGCGGACCGAGGAAAGAGACGTATGGCTCAGCGCCGTGACTGTCGACGACGGCAAATGGCACATAGCGAAAGTTTCAAGATACGGTTCATCGGCAATTTTGGAACTTGATGGTGGAGAAGGAAAACATTACAATGAAACTTATCGATTTGAAGGACATCAGTGGTTAATGGTGGACAAGCAAGAAGGAGTGTACGCCGGYGGAAAGGCCGAGTACACTGGAGTTCGAACGTTTGAAGTRTATGGTGACTTCCAAAAAGGTAATTGGATGAAAGCAAGTGTCATCGTAWACGACCATGATATGTTTGATATTAAAAAATACTTATTCGCTATGAGTCTTTATAAAGTTATAATAAAACCTATTCAGTGAGTATTTTTATTTTACGAGAAGAGGTGACAGCAAACTGTAACTGAAATAAATGTTATAGTTGTATATAATTTGAGTCRAATCGTTAGAAAAGTGACAAAACAAGATTTATCAAGTAAATTTATAGAAATCGGTTTTTTAGTTAMACAATTATTTGTACTTTATCATCTTTCTAKTACAGTCATAGATACTTTTCGTTTTGTGAGTAGGTATAAAGAACAACTATAAAAAAGTRAATCTTACTAAACTGCTTATCGTAAAACATTAWGGTTCGTGTTGAATTCGTACTACTTCGTAGTATACAGTTTTGGCAATTCGAGGTACTAAAAAACTTGTGCGATTAATTTTTGATTTATACCAATTTTATGTAAACGAAACGTCGAAAATGTTGGTTAAAATTACSTATTGTTGACTGTATATTGTCATATCATTCAAGGTTGTTTGGATGACATACGTTTGGAAGGGAGATATCTTCCACTGCCGCCTGCAACCAACGGAACTCAGTGGGGACAAGCTACTATGGCCAGAAACGTCGAGAGGAACTGCCCGTCGAACAAACCGTGCGCTAACGTCATTTGCCAGGAACCTTTTGAATGCGTCGATCTTTGGAATTACTACGATTGCACGTGAGTTCAATTCATCAATACCACCTTGTTACTCATCAGTTATAATATTACGGCTATAATAACTAGTGCAGCGGGGTGATTCAAAATATTTCTTACGATTTCAATTTATAGTTGTTAATATATATATATTTTTAAATAATAAAACAAATGATCAAATTGCAAGCATAGCACTAGATGGCCTAGTAAGCCAGTTACACAGTCTATGCGGTGATGATTCGCTTTGGATAGTCCTGTAGTATTATACACTTGTAGTAACAGTGTAAAGAAACTGATTTTGTCTTTCCATATTACATATTATTATTATATAGTTGTGGAGAAGGAAGGGTCATGACTTCGGACCGCAAAGGCTGCATAGACAAGAACGAATGTCTGGACAGTCCCTGCAGAAACGGTGGTGTTTGTCTCAACCAAGACCCCAGGATCCGTTACCGTTGTATATGCCCAGACGGCTTTTGGGGTGAGAACTGCGAACTGGTCCAGGAAGGCCAGAAACTGAAACTAGGCATGGGTGCACTCGCTGCTATACTGGTGTGCCTCCTCATCATTCTAAGTAAGAACACAGTCGCAATCCACCGTCCTTATCTATACGTATAATTAATTAATGTACATTGCATTTTTTCGTTCATTTTTTCGATTCGTACGATACGTTGTTTTAGCATTATGTTTCTATCACCGACGTTGTAAGAATATATATAAAACAATTTATTTATAAACTTAACCGTAATGAGTATCACAACTCTGAAAATTATCCGATAATTAAATAAGAATAATTGAATGGTGTTGATTTGGTTTCTTCCTAACAAGGTTGAAAGTTGAAATTGAAAAATTGTTCAATTCAAATTTAAATTTAAATATTACTTTTTCTGATTTAAAAAGTTCTGAAAATTTTTTAGATTTTATAATTTTATAATTTTTCTATACCCCCTATWACTGCACAATTTCAATATAATTGTTTTTTGATTTATAATTATATTTAAAGCAACATAACTTTTTTATTTAAAATATCACTTTTACATCTTTACGACTTTWCTTAGGGACGACCAATCAATTTATAATATTATAGAGCTTTTAAGTTTTGCCAAATTTTGTTTTTAAATATTTTAAAACAATCTATATAACAACCATAGAACTATTATTGTTTTGATATATTTTCTTAGAAGGTGTTTTTTTATGGATACTTAAAATCTATTTTGAAATAAAATTGAAGCCCTGATTATTAAACACAAACACCTGATTTACCAATCATTGTGTTACATGATGATGACGAGTATAATGTTATTTATTATGCATGGATATCGCCATCTCTAATGCCAWTCCCTAAAAYAATAGATAATATTATTATGATGTATTGTCGGTACGATAAAWTCGATTTTCCAAAATAYTTATGCCACTATCAACATATTTTTCCGCATTACTTGTTTGACACTTTTTTGTGATTTTCCGCTGTGCAGTTCTGGTTTTGATGTTCGTCGTGTACAACCGACGACGCGAGTCACACATCAAATACCCCGGACCAGACGACGACGTCAGAGAGAACATAATTAACTACGACGACGAGGGTGGCGGCGAAGACGACATGACCGCGTTTGACATTACACCGCTGCAAATACCCATCGGTGGGTCAATGAACAACATGCACCCACAAAAATATAAATGTATGTATTGTATGCACACTTAATTTTATTAGAACGCGCATGGCGCCGAAATTAGGTTAAGTTCTAAAACTGTTCTATATTATTTTTATTTTGTAAGTGGGTCTGGTAAGTGGGTAGATGGGTTGATTGACTCAAAATAAAATTGGCATAGACGTTTTAAAATACATCGGTGCCTCTGAGAACACGTATAGGAAAACAAATAATACCTATACCTACAAATGTGATAGTCAAGTTAATGAAGAAATGTAATCGTGTTAGTTGAGTTGAGTCAACTTTTGGAATGTTCGTAGGTATATGTAGTACGTCACAAAATTAGCAAACAGGTTTATTTCTTCTTATGTTAGTCATATTCTTGTTTAACTTTCAACGCCATTATAAGAATATCTCAAAAATGTAGGTAACCTTTGTAATACACTTTTTATGTGTACATAAAAATAAACAGCAATTAATATACTAAGTAAGTAGTACAAATAATCTCAATACAATCTTGGACTCAATATGGAAAAAAATGCAAACGGTGACTTCAACCGGTAAAATATGTTAGTTAATTTTTTTTAGTGATTGCGTTCTCCCCTCAAATTGTTTTAATAATAAGTAATAACTACCTAGTTTTATTTTTTTAWATAATTGTATTGAGTACCTAACGCTGATCGGACTTTTGTAGATCCCGCGATGCCCGTGGGCGTGGAACCCAACGTCGGCATATTCATCGAAGACCACAAGAAACGCGCGGAYGGCGATCCAAATGCCCCGCCGTTTGACGACTTGCGCAATTACGCTTATGAAGGAGGCGGCAGCACTGCTGGGTCGTTGTCATCACTAAACACTGGTAAATTATAAGATAAACACGTCTTAAGTATTATATCAGGGGGCCTTTTGAAAAAGATCTACCGAGAATATAATTTTTTTACTCAGAGAAGCGAGCAATCGATGAAAAAATTCAGGGGTTTTTGGTCAACTTCTCCTGGTGCCAGGCAATTGAAATTTGAAACATAGCTTACTTAAAAAATAATCTCAGAGAATGTAATTCATCCCCCGCCTTTATAWTTCTCGATAAGTGTAAGCTGTTGTTTCTCTAGATTGTTAAGTTTTTAACATAAATGAAAAATTAGACATTTGTTAAAAATTAAAACAAATACGATTTATTGTTTGTTTGTTGTGCCTATAAAAAGTTATGGCCTTGCTGGTATAAGACATATATTAATGATTTCGTGTTTTTCTCAAAAAGGAGAAATGTTATTTTTTCAAATGAAACTAAAAAAGTAAACTTGGGTGGTTGAGGGAGGCGTAGAAAAATGGGAGAGGGGGTGGAGTATAGCCCTCTTATTCACCCCGTTCTACACTTATGACTAGTGTAAGCACCCCTATATACGTTTATGTTAACCAATATTATAAATAATATAGGTTTAGGACTCCTAAATTAGGAGCTTATGGCTTTGATGGTTTTTGTCTATCCTGTTTAATTATTGTTGTGATGATCAGCTACTCAATGAATTTTTGGACTTCCAGTTTTTACTGTTATCTTTTTTGTAACAATTTTTTATTTTGAGGATATTAAAAAGCAAAAAATTKTAAGCAATATTTATTAAATACTCAGAGTAATATAAGTACTAGGAAATATGATTTCAGATCTTAATCCTTTATAGAATTTTAAGAGAAAACAACTTAAAAATTAGCAAAATGAAAAATAATATTAATTCATAAGAGTAAAGAACATATTTTGCCTATTCAATATTAATACTAAAAATAACATTTTTACCTACTTGTGATAAAACAAAAAACAATCAATCAAATACAAATTAGACAAGACCCGGCCAAGTCGGCCTATAGGCTATATAGCGTTCTACTACTGCAGATATTATTATCGGATAGAATATTATTCATGGTTACCAACGGCGTATTACAATATTAATCGCACCCTTTTGCCGCGTTYGCAGGTACCGAGGACGACCACCAAGACTACGAGTACTTGGTGTCTTGGGGTTCGCACTTCGATAAACTGGCCGACATGTACAGCCGGGACGGCGAACACGAGATGGAAGAAGAGCAGTAGAAGAGACGACGAACTGCACGTCTACAGCCGACCGTTGTGTAGATTAATGAAATATTATTATTATATACCTTCATCKTCACGACGTATCGCACGCCACACAATACACAAAGTAGTACATAATTATTATTATAGTACGCGTCGTGTCGTTTGTTCATATTATAATAATATGCATAATAATAATAATAATATTTTCGTCGTATATCTACACATACACGGGGCGCCGCTATCATAATATATAATATTAAAATATTGAACTGAAAATCTAGTCATGATTAATTTTTTTTTCTTTTTTACTTAACCCACACTATATACATTATTATTATTAGACGATCTCAACTCCCATTTTTGCTGCCATTTTATCATGATATTTATATGAAATATTATATGCTTACCGTTTATCGTTTATTGTGTTTTACCGTATAATATTATATGATACATAATAATATTATAATATAGTCCTTTTATTATTATTATACTACGCATAATCGTAGTAAGCCTCATCGTCACGGTTCCCTCCTCGTCGCCATACTTTGACTTTTCGGTTGTTTTTTTCCCCGAAAACGTTTCAATATGATTTTCCTATCGTCATTGACCCCTTTCTCGTCGATTGTATGGTTGTTTTATTATTTCATTTTTCGTACAAATACGTCGAGTTTTTTTATATACATAACACAATATTTACCTCAATATATCTATAAGAACTAATCATTTTATCATTTTTATGATTAATTTTCACTCGGAAGTTTTTACTATTTTTATTCAAACGAAACTGAGAAAAAAAATATTGTGTACGTCAAATTATTGCCATTATAGGTACTAAATATAATGTATTCAGGGCAAACGCTACTTTTTTTATTGTATGCTCAATTTCTGTTTAGATTACACAATATTATTATATAATATAGTCGTTTAACAAATATTGTATAAATGTGACACTGAATTATATTTSTAAATCGAGTGAATCAATATTATAATATACTACAGCTGTAACATAATGATATAATACAATACAATATAATCGTATAACGGTCGACAAAATAATATTATTATTATAACATCAAACGAA